TATATATATATATATATATATAGATTTAAAAAGCGCTAAGGTGAGATCATTTTCACATATATTGCAGATAAGGTGAGATCCATTTGGTAAACCCGAGATCCGTTTTCGGATCTCGCCTTTTTTATTGTGTATATCGAGTCTATTAGCTCGGTCGATCATACAGGAAGCTAAATTTCAATTTTCGCCCGGATCTCAACTTTTAGGTTTTTGTCAAAATTTATACACGCGAAGTTCTTGAGTGACCATCTTAGGGGGCGCTGCTTACGTTATATATAATACGTTATATTTTAAATAAAGTGAGATCCAAATAAACGGCAACATTGTAAAGCGGTACTCTCGCTTTAAAGTGCGATAGCAAATAATGAAAGAGGTAGCTGTACTATGTGCGCTATAACGTAAATAATTTGTTATCTGCTACCTCGTATGTATTATTCCTAATCCACGTTACGTTACAAGGGCGGATTTGTATTAAAGAGATTAAACTGGTGGATTGAGGAGAAATGTAAAATAACGTTTAGTATATTTTAGTAAGCGCATTAAATTAATAAGAGGGTCATAATGGATTCTAAGGGTATCGTAACTATAAGCTAGGAACACACCTACCACGGTGCCCAATAAGGGAATTTGGTACACTTTCGATGACCACTTGTATTTTAATCAAAAGATGTCAAAATCGTTATTTCTATACCAAGCTCATCGGGAAAAGAACCAAAGATATTACAGCGCTGTCTAAAAAGAGAATTTTGTAAATTGTTTATGATTGATTTTACCAATTAGGTACCGTACGCATTTAGGCAGTACGTACCACATATTAACCATACGGCAAAAATTGGCCGTTCTGATTGGACCACGGCGAAACGCGGTACGTTTTGTTCAAGTTGGGTCCTAACGCGGTACGGTTTGTCACCGCTTTGGTTTTATCCTAATTTCTTTGGGTTTGGTGTTTACACATGATTGCCGGATAAGTTCGATATTTTTGAACCGAAATTGTCACCTCTATGATTTGATTTGAACCAATTTGACTAACCCAGACATCTGTCTTCAAAAATGAACTTTTTGCAGATTTCGTTACGAAATACTGAACAACCTAATGATAATAACTTTATAGTCCTTGTGATTGCTTTTTACCAACCAGGCACCATACGGTACTGGACGAGAGATAAGAAAGCAATTTAATAATGATTTCTTTGGGTTTGGTGTTTATACATGATTGGAGGATGAATTAGATGTTTCTGAACCAAAATGGTCATCTCCATGGTTTGAACCAGTTTGACTAACCAAGGCATCTTTCTTCAAAAATGAACTTTTCACAGATTTCTTTACGAAATACTGAACAACCTAATGGTTTACATGTGATCATAAGCAAATAACTTTAGAGTTCTTATGATTGCTTTTTACCAACCATGCGCCATACGGTACTGGAAAAGAGATAAGAAAGCAATTTGATAATGATTTCTTTGGGTTCGGTGTTTATACATGATTGGAGGATGAATTAGATGTTTTTGAACCAAAATGGCCACCTCCATGGTTTGAACCAATTTGACTAACCAAGGCATCTTTCTTCAAAAATGAACTTTTTACAGATTTCTTTACGAAATACTGAACAACCTAATGGTTTACATGTATCATAAGCAAATAACTTTAGAGTTCTTGTGATTGCTTTTTACCAACCATGCACCATACGGTACTGGACGAGAGATAAGAAAGCAATTTGATTGGGTTTGGTGTTTATACATGATTGGAGGATGAAGTAGATATTTTTGAAACAAAATGGCCACCTCCATGGTTTGAACCAGTTTGACTAACCAAGGCATCTTTCTTCAAAAATGAACTTTTTACAGATTTCTTTACGAAATACTGAACAACCTAATGGTTTACATGTAATCATAAGCAAATAACTTTAGAGTCCTTGTGATTGCTTTTTACCAACCATGCACCATACGGTACTGGACGAGAGATAAGAAAGCAATTTGATTGGGTTTGGTGTTTATACATGATTGGAGGATGAAGTAGATATTTTTGAAACAAAATGGCCACCTCCATGGTTTGAACCAGTTTGACTAACCAAGGCATCTTTCTTCAAAAATGAACTTTTTACAGATTTCTTTACGAAATACTGAACAACCTAATGGTTTACATGTATCATAAGCAAATAACTTTAGAGTTCTTGTGATTGCTTTTTACCAACCATGCACCATACGGTACTGGACGAGAGATAAGAAAGCAATTTGATTGGGTTTGGTGTTTATACATGATTGGAGGATGAATTAGATATTTTTGAAACAAAATGGCCACCTCCATGGTTTGAACCAATTTGACTAACCAAGGCATCTTTCTTCAAAAATGAACTTTTCACAGATTTCTTTACGAAATACTGAACAACCTAATGGTTTACATGTAATCATAAGCAAATAACTTTAGAGTCCTTGTGATTGCTTTTTACCAACCAGGCACCATACGGTACTGGACGAGAGATAAGAAAGCAATTTAATAATGATTTCTTTGGGTTTGGTGTTTATACATGATTGGAGGATGAATTAGATGTTTTTGAACCAAAATGGCCACCTCCATGGTTTGAACCAATTTGACTAACCAAAGCATCTTTCTTAAAAAATGAACCTTTTGCAGATTTCGTTACGAAATACTGAACAACCTAATGGTTTACATGTAATCATAAGCAAATAACTTTAGAGTCCTTGTGATTGCTTTTTACCAACCAGGCACCATACGGTACTGGACGAGAGATAAGAAAGCAATTTGATTGGGTTTGGTGTTTATACATGATTGGAGGATGAATTAGATATTTTTGAAACAAAATGGCCACCTCCATGGTTTGATCCAGTTTGACTAACCAAGGCATCTTTCTTCAAAAATGAACTTTTTGCAGATTTCGTTACGAAATACTGAACAACCTAATGGTTTACATGTAATCATAAGCAAATAACTTTAGAGTCCTTGTGATTGCTTTTTACCAACGAGGCACCATACGGTACTGGACGAGAGATAAGAAAGCAATTTAATAATGATTTCTTTGGGTTTGGTGTTTATACATGATTGGAGGATGAATTAGATGTTTTTCAACCAAAATGGTCACCTCCATGGTTTGAACCAGTTTGACTAACCAGGGCATCTTTCTTCAAAAATGAACTTTTTACAGATTTCTTTACGAAATACTGAACAACCTAATGGTTTACATGTAATCATAAGCAAATAACTTTAGAGTTCTTATGATTGCTTTTTACCAACCATGCGCCATACGGTACTGGAAAAGAGATAAGAAAGCAATTTGATAATGATATCTTTGGGTTTGGTGTTTATACATGATTGGAGGATGAATTAGATGTTTTTGAACCAAAATGGCCACCTCCATGGTTTGAACCAGTTTGACTAACCAAGGCATCTTTCTTAAAAAATGAACTTTTTGCAGATTTCGTTACGAAATACTGAACAACCTAATGGTTTACATGTAATCATAAGCAAATAACTTTAGAGTTCTTATGATTGCTTTTTACCAACCAGGCACCATACGGTACTGGACGAGAGATAAGAAAGCAATTTAATAATGATTTCTTTGGGTTTGGTGTTTATACATGATTGGAGGATGAATTAGATGTTTTTGAACCAAAATGGTCACCTCCATGATTTGAACCAGTTTGACTAACCAAGGCATCTTTCTTCAAAAATGAACTTTTCACAGATTTCTTTACGAAATACTGAACAACCTAATGGTTTACATGTAATCATAAGCAAATAACTTTAGAGTTCTTGTGATTGCTTTTTACCAACCATGCACCATACGGTACTGGACGAGAGATAAGAAAGCAATTTGATTGGGTTTGGTGTTTATACATGATTGGAGGATGAATTAGATGTTTTGAACCAAAATGGTCACCTCCATGGTTTGAACCAGTTTGACTAACCAAGGCATCTTTCTTCAAAAATGAACTTTTCACAGATTTCTTTACGAAATACTGAACAACCTAATGGTTTACATGTGATCATAAGCAAATAACTTTAGAGTTCTTATGATTGCTTTTTACCAACCATGCGCCATACGGTACTGGAAAAGAGATAAGAAAGCAATTTGATAATGATTTCTTTGGGTTTGGTGTTTATACATGATTGTAGGATGAATACTTATGCATAATCAATTTTGAAGCATTTCAGTTAATGGCAAAAATTTTTTACATTAATTATAATGGCAATTGTACTTTGAAAGTAAGTTTGAATTGGGTCCTTTAATTCAAAGATGTAGACTTATGAACCACTATCAGCTGTTAGAAAAATAAAAAAATCATTTCCAACGGGAACTCTTTCCTTCAATAAATAGGTAATCGTTTTAATTTATCATCGATGTAAAATAGAGTACCTATTACACTAGGTATTATATAATTAAATGTTATAATATTTTCAAGCCCCGGGTGCCAAATAATATTAACGCTTTATCGAAGAAAGAATACGCGAAGGAATCCCACATGAAGGCTAACAACCTGTTAAGTATTCGCAAAAGATAACGAAATCTATTTTTAGAACAAGTACATTTGACAACACCGCATGATCTCTACTTAATACACCAATGTCATTTTATACACTATATGATCTCTACTTAAGTGTATTTATTTTTTGATCTCATCCTAACTGCTTTTTATATGGATAATTTTAATTGTATGAATTTCTTTCCCCTCTATAGGGGTAATGATAGAAGAACATATTTCATGTCATTGGCAACCCATTATACACGCATATTTTTAACTTTAAAGGGGGATCTCAGGTTATCCTACTATTATCCGGAT